ATATATATATATATATATATATATATATATATATATATATATATATCTATATATAATATATATATTAAAAGTTATTCGAGCAAAACATTGATGGCCTTAAACGCAGCCTATCCCTTAACTCTAGAAGAATGAGTCGCATCATTGAAATTGCACTGGTAATGATAACGGAAGAACGAGACTAAGAGAGAGAAGGAGAATAACTCTTTTTTTTTTTTTTTTTTTTTTTTAAATTCTCTCTTTAAGAGATCCTCTCTAATATATATATAGTAACTCTTTAATACATACCATCACAAACACACTAATCTCTTTGAACATTTTGTCTGATTGTCGACAAGTTCTATATATATATATATTTGTCCAAGATAGTGCTTTCGTTTCCATAGTGTAAATGTCTTTCATTTCACAACTTATTTATTTATCATTTTGTGCATTAAGCATGTTTGTGCATGTCTTCGTCTTTTATATAGCGTTCAGTTCAACCTAAAAGGTGCATATAAAGGTTTCGAAAAAAAAAAAAAAAACAAAAAAAAATTTAATGAAAAAATTCTCTTTTATTAAGACGACTATGATAATGAGCAGCAGGCTTCATCTCTACTGCGATGGTTACACTAAATTGATCGATATCGATTGGATAATAATGCATAGAAACATATATATATTAGGTATTTCTTTATTACCTTGAAAGTAAACTTGCGTCTTTAATGCGTCTGCCTGTCTATCTAATAAAATTGAATGCTAAACTAATAATGTGCCGATTGAAACTGTTGCTTACAACACATCAAGTTTCATTGGGGAATTGTTTTTTGTTTTTTGTTTTTTTTTTTTCCTTTTTAAAAAAATGGAACATGGCAAGGACAAAAGACATGAGAAAGCTACGTTTTATTGTTTCAGAGTAAAAAAAAAAAATACTTCGGATCAATTTGATTAATTATTTTCCTCGTAAATAAGTAAAACATTACAATGCCCTTGATGTCCAATGCTTTGAACTTGTGTAAAAAAGTTGCAAGGTATTTGTTAAATGAAGGCATGTCAGTCAGTCAGTCAGTCAGTCAGTCGATGGGGATCATTTCTAGATGTGCCTCTTAGATGGCTTCGCTGTAATATGTGTAAACAAAGCTACTTCAGATGAATACCGTTCTGCTGCAGACCGCACCAGATCTAGCTTCTATTACCGATGACGATATACTAAGGATATATTAGATTGTGCATTTCATTTGTTGCATTTAGAAGCCGACATCGTGTAACGCACACACATTCTTGCTCAATAGAAATTGTGCTTAGGTTTAGCCCTATCCATCTATCCGTTCGCCCGTCTGCAATTTCTTGTTTGTTCCTTTACGCGCTCGCCAAACCTTGCTATATGGAATATGCTGCAGCATATTTTCAGTTGGTTCCATGACCACAGACGAGCTGGGCCAAGATAAGAAATGTAATGCACTTTCAAACATCCATGCAATAGAGAATAAATATCCTAAGGGGCCTAAGAGCCTAGAGGGGGTTATCGAACTAAAAGATTTGCTAAGACCAATGCAAAGATCAAACTGAACAAACCCACTTCCAACTGATCAACTGATCCGGCCACATTAAACCCTATATATTGATTTAAGGCAACGGATATATCATTTAGTCTTACTTCTTGTGAATGTGATTGTGCTTTAGCACTGAATGTTTCGATGGTTTCGGGTAATTACATGGCATCATGTTTCCCCTTAATATCTACTATTAAGGATTGCAAATTACAGTTTTTTAGTTCCACTCACTGTAGGTTTTGTTGATTGGAACCGTTTTTCGATTGTCCGTTCTAAGGAAAGTCAAGGAAACTATTTGCTTGTACCGAGATTTAGATGAACATTTACCATGAATTACAATTACATTGAACTTTTTCAATTATTGTCATTGTCGTTGTGCGTTGAGATATAATCAATTCTGCCAAGTCGTAGTTCTCTCTCAATCAATTTTTTCGAACATAGACATAAGACGCTACAGGCAAGTAGATAGGCGAATGGTTATGAAAATCTTACCCCGTGATCAAGCGTATGTATATATAGGCTCCATAAAGCATACAGTAATTTATCAGTGTCGGAGACGATATTGTTTGCAGAGATTAAAAATGTAGTTCAAGTTGGATGGCCAGTCATTATTGGCATCGCTGACAACAACATTTCAATTCAATTCATTTTCTCTGAGTTCACAAGACATATTTGTGCTCTATCAACCGTTTGCGAGTCATTTAAAATGATAAATAAACTAAATTGAGAATTTCGTGGGCAAAAGTATTTTCGAAAGCGCAGGAAGAGTATTAAACAGGGAGCGTAGCAGGATATATATATATATATATATATATATATATGTGAAGATGTCTTTTATTATTAATATTTTTAGTTCATATATTTTTGAAATTTTTTGACTTAATTCATAAAAATTTAATTAAATTCAGGTTTTACTACCAGAACCGTCCATTGATGGCCGTACAACGACATATCATTTATGCGAACAAAATATTCGTACACTACGGGAATATTCAAAATTTTATGAAACGACGCATGAAAATTCTCAATTAATGGAGAAATCTTCGTTAAAGCAAATCATGGAAACAACTAAACATCTGCCTACCGATACCGATATAAATATTGAAAGTCAGAGAACTACATTTCAACAATCTAAGGCTAATGCGATTAAGTGCGGTATCGTAGATTGTGATAATTTTCTTGTTCCTACCTATCCAGCAACGTCGGCGCATTTTAGAGCCACTCAGCAACAACACGAACAACAGCGGTTACAGAACATAAGACAACATCAACTTTATCAACATGAGGCACAACAGCGACAAACCACAATACATTTACACAATTATACGGCAAATCTAAAACGTGGTCTTTTTTATACTCAACAGGCAGGTTTTTCTTTTTCTTTTCCTTATTTTTTTTTTTATTTTTTTTTTTTTTTATTTCATTTTTCTTTTTATTTTAATTTAAAAGCATTTTTATTAGAACACATTAGGTTTTCCTTTTTTTTTTTTTTTTTTTTTTTTCTTTTTTCACCCTTTTCTAACGCTCTCGGCGAACACAACAAGTAACGAATGACTAATTGGATGACTATATTTCGGTTAGAAATGTTGACCCCTATATATGCACCTTTCTATACTATGGCAGCATAGTTAATTAGTATACTGTAAAGGCTTATTTAATCATTTTGTTCACTTTTTTTTTTTTTTATTTTTTTTTTATTATTATTATTTATTTATTATTGTGAAACTTACATATTATATATGTAGATATTTTTTACTTATAAAATAAGATGATTTTATGGGCTCTTAATATCTGATCACTATCAATGCTTCGGATTCTTTTTTTTTTTTTCATTTAATATTTAAAGAGTCATTTTTTTTTGCATTTCTTTTCATTTATTATTTGCGGCGGATGTAAAGCTTCGAAATTTAGGAGAATATTAAGAAAATATTGTGCTTAAGACAGTAAATGAATTTTTTTTTTATTTTTTTTTTTCAATCAAAATTATCATTAAATATATGCGCATAATACGCTAGCGAAAGTCCGATATGTCGTTCATTGCCAATTAATTTTTCATATATGTATAAGCCAATCTTATGGAATGATGAAGTGAAAGTATTGATCACGTCAATGATGACAAATCGACGAAGCTTTCAAATTTATCTCCACTCTCGTTTCAATTTGGCTGAATGTGTTTTCACGCCTGTCTGCCTGCCTGTCTGTCTGCCTGTAATGAATGTACGTATGTATACGTTAATAACTACACGCTGAGCGAATGAGTAAAACGCACTTTAGTGCTTTAGTTTATTCGGCGAATCCAATCTTATCCAAAAGTCTGCTTAAACTTTTGAATTAAAAGCACAGTTAAGCAAAACGAGTGATCGAAAATGTAAACTAAAACATTGTTTGAGTGAGCGATGCGTTCTAATAGCTCTCGCTCGTTAACTCTCGCAAATTCTTTCAATTACTTTGGCTTCGAAACATGGGTCTCTGCTTCCTTTCCCTTATTATCATATTCAAAAGAACCTTTGAACATGACATTTATCCCCGTAATAGATAATTGCGTATAATGCTTACAGCGATAATCCGCGTTTTACTCTTTATACCCTACACCATCTGTGTTACTGTGATCGATTTTAAATCATTTTGTGAAATCTGTATATCCGTCTGTCCGTCCATAAAAATGCATGTTCAAAACTATTGGTCGCAATTTTTTAAATATTTTCATGAAGTTTGACACACTGACATGCATTGATTCAAGGACGAATGCTATTAAAAATGATTTCGAGTCGATCGACTTTTTCGGCCACTTTTCAGCCATATTTCAAAAAGTTTTTATATGGAAAAGAATTGCAATTTTCGAAAATTCTTTGATAAAAGCGGCTAAGTAGTAGTTTTTCGATATTTTCAATTTTTATGTAAAAATTTGATTCGACTGAGGCAATTTTTTGAACCCTTTACCATATAACTGACCACAGAAAAACTGGTTTAAAGCAAAAGTAGAAAAAAAAAAAATTTTTTTTTTTTTTGTAAATACTTTTTGAGAAAGACAAAGCAATTTTCGTAGCGTTCCGATCCAACCAGTTTGGCGAAGAAAACTTAATCTGATATGTTGACTAAGTTCTCGCTGCATTTCGTTCTCTAAAAGTGTTGCGCATCTCTAGTCACATGTGAACAAAAAGGACACTTTTTAGCATGACCATGTGCTATCGATTAGAATAAATAGTGATCGCAAAGGGCGACGTCCGGTGATTACGGCCAAGAAAGCAGCACATACATGGGGGCAAACTAAATCATCAGTGAAATCTAACAAGCTGGTTGTTGTCGTAGGGCACCATACTGATGGTTTCTTTTTGCCGGAACAGATCATAATACACATACGAGACATCCATTTGATTTCTATCTCAACTTCTCCTGTTATTTGTAATGCTTGCGAAAGACGCATATAATGTTCACATTGGCCAGCGAATAGGGTTTATTCCATTTTTTCTACATTCAGTTCTCATATTGTGACGCTACCTTCTCTTAGATGATGAATAATGACATCTTTTATGAAAACCACTGATAATAGTTTACATGGAGACATACTTAAGATTTTTCTGCTTTTTTTTTTCTCAAATATTTACTTGATTTTAAATTATAGATGTTTTTTTTTTTTTTTTTTTTTTTTTTTTTCTAAATATATATGTACATTAGTGTAATTAACAGGCAAGATAGGTAGGATAAGGGAACAAGAAGCTTCTTGGGAAAATTATATTTTATTTCTCAATATAATCTTGTTTATAGCTTTCTACAAGTTATAAGAATTTCAAAGAGTTGAAAATAGTTGTCCGTCCATACACTAAGGTTAAATTACATACCATTGGGTTTTTAGTATGAAGCGAAACCCTGAAGAGATAGCTAACTTTTGAAATACCTCAAACACTAACACCCAAATGGTGTTGCAACCAATTTTTCCACCTAAAAGGTGTTCACTACGTGTGTACTAGAATGATCACGTTTAAATCTTATCTAATGAAACAGATTCTCTATAATATTTATTGGATCTTTCCTTAGTATCTTTTAAGGTTTGACTTTTCAAAAAGTAGAAGTGCCTTATAGTGTTAGCTACAACACGAAATTCATTAATACTCCTACACCACTTTTAGTACAGACTGTATTAAGTTAATGGGGATTTGTGTAATTTATTTTTTGAATTGATCTAAGCTTGTCGGTCCATCTTGAAAGCTGTCCATGTATTTTTGTGTTCAACCTGAGTCAAATCACAACTTTTGAAGATATCAAGATAAAATTTGGTACAACGCGACGTGCATTGACACGAGGACGATTACTATTGAAAATGTTTCAGATCGATCCAGTTTATCGACTACTTCCCATGTAACGGCTTTTCAAAATAAATCATTACACGAGCATTTTTAAAAATTTCTCTATAAAATTCATTCTATTTTTAGTATCTGGTATGTAGTAAAAAGGTATAATTTTTCATGTTTCATGATAGTAAATTGACAAAGAAATCAATGTTAGCGCACTTGGACCACATACGTCGATGTTTTTGGTACAATCACATATAAGGATTCTTAGGAAATGTAAACCCTTAACCCTTATATGCCATAAATGGCTAACTGTTAATGTTTTCTCATGAAAATTTGTTTATGATAGTAAATTGATATTAAAATTAAAAAATTGACAACAAATTGAACCACATGAGTCTATTTCTTGGATCCCAATTCGTGTAAGATTTTTGATGAATAGTAAGGATTTCAAAAAAGATTTCATTTTTATTATTTTTAGATGAATGTCGTCCCGAATTTGAATCATAGGTTTATTTATTAGACCCTAAGGTAAAACAAGCTCTTCCAAGGAGAAAAAGTTTACTTTTTTAGTGAAATTTTTGAGAAATTTATTAAATTTGGATCAAGCCATGTAATCTTTTGGGAATCGTCCAATAAGCGGGCTTTCATCAACAGTATGCCTTTGCATAAAAATAATGTGTAATTTCTGATGTATTTTTACGAAAACGAATGAATAACTGTACCAGGCGGAGTAGTGTAGGGTATCTAAAAATCGGTTTTGCTTGCCTTGCTATAAAGTTTTTGTTTTTTTCTATTGTGAAATAAATAATCAAAATTATCGATTTTCTTCGGCTGCTAAACGACAAACGATTAATTACTAACTGATCGAATGTCATGGAATTTGACATGCGCTCATCTGAAAGTCCGTTCTATATGACATAGAGTTTCTGTTGTTGTTGTTTTTTTTTTTTTTTTCTTGCTCTGCACACTAATCATTAATCACACCTAGTAGGTGAAGAGGGAAAGAACAGATCCACTCTTTGCATTAATTAGATCTCAAACTCTGTCCCATCGAAACCCTGGAATATTTATTTTGGAAAAAGAAGAAACTCTAAAAATGTTTAAGTAATAATGTAGCTTAACATTTCCTACGCGTAATCCTTCTCAACTGTTTCGGTGTAAAATTACAAGCTATGACGAGGAAGTATTTTAATGTCAAAGTTCCAAAATGCTTTCTAACCGAACATTTTTAAAAAAGGCTTTAAACATCATCTCGTAATAACGCATTTCACTCGAATTTTAATAAAATAACTTATGTTTTATAAATGATGTTGTTTTTCACTTTAACTTAAAGGTCGACTCGTAACTCGTCACTGTTTAAATGGCTTTTTGTGTTACACTATACCTCTGTTCCACTTTGTGTTCGTTACAGTTTTTATTTTCGATAAAATTATTTCTAATAAACACTAAAGATCTCATATTAAAAAAAAAAAAAAAAAAAAAAAAAAAAAAACTGGAAACGTTTCAAGCCTTTTTGTTAATAAAATTTTCTTTCGTAAAGTATGAAAGGATCATTTCCTTTTTCTTTTAAATTTTCCAGATTTTCTTTTTTTTTTTTTGATAAGCCAAAAAATAAATTGCAAAAAAAATGCCAATCTTTTTTTAACATTTTCGATTTTCTCTTCATCCAAACAGCTACGAAAACAAAGTTGTTTTAATGCACGAAAAAAATTCCAATTCGTTATACTAGTGGTTAGGGCAGTAGTACGCATAAAACGTTTACGTTACACTGCCGAGCCGTTGCATGTCGATGAAGCTATACGTGATCCCTACAGAATTAAAGTATTGCGTAAGGTAAGTACATCGAAAAAAGCATAGCCTATGCATCATATAAGATGTTGTATCTTCGCCGAGCTTTTTTCATTCAAAAAAAAAACCACCACAAGTCATCAGTCATCAGTTTAAAAAAAAAATATCAAAAGTAATAACCTATAGCTATTAATTCCCATCATCGTCGATTCTTTCATTTATATTTTTTTATAAAGGTTTTTTCGTCCCTTTTCATTTGAGTTGTTTTTTTTTTTCTCACTTCTTTCTCATCAAACAATTTTATAGTTTCGAATCTTCGGTCGATCCGTTTTCCGATTAGTTTTCGGAAAATCCTTTATTGTGTATACTTCGTACAGCCGCAAAGCATTCCTTGTGCACTCGCACTATCGTGTTGCGTGAAATCTTGCGTTATTTTCTTGAGATTAATTGGCACATATCTCCAACTGCCACCGTATTACACGATCGATCATAGAACAAAAAATAAAAAAATAAATAAATAAATAAAAAAATTGAGGGAATCAATCAAAATTTATATAATTGATTTGTAGAACGAAAAGTTACTATAAAATGATTACCGGGCACGATGACGCTCGATATTTGCACATATTGCAACGCCTGCCTGGGTAACGTTAGAGGTAATAGGCACTTAACTTGGTATGTGCTATCATCCTTCATGCTCTCAAGCATAGCGCTTTCTAAACTGTAGGAGCAAGTCTTCTACTTACTTTCACTATGTTCATAGTTAAAAATTGCACAGACATACAATTGGAAGAACTTTTTTTTTTTTTTTTGTTTTTTTTTCTTTTTCTATTTATAGAGGGAAATTGCTTAAGAACTTTCATTTCCATTTTACAGGTTATTGATGGTTGCGCCTTTCGCGTTTATGGTCATTGGGTTAAAAAGGGTGAAGGACAAAATCGTGCCGCCTTATTTGAAAATACTCCACGCACCGAACTGCATGCTTTGTATATTAATAATTTAAGTCGATAGTCAAAATGTTTTGTAAATTTCAATTGCTTCGATTTAGTATAAAATATTAGACATTTAATTACAAAAGTATAATTTTAATGCTAAATTATGACTAAATAACAATTTTGATGATAAATATTTGATAAGTAGTCGCTATTTATATTTGTATGTAAACGAAATTCACTTTGATTTCAATCATAATCATTTTTTGTTTAAGTCACAAAAATATAATGATATTTTAAAGTTTTTAAATAACATAAAAAAATCAAATCAAGAATAACCAATAAAGAAAGAATTATAAAAATCATCAATCAAAACTCTTAACACGATAGGGGAGAATAATTACTCTTGTGCGTGACGTGTAATAAATGCTTGAACGCCTATCATTCTTATTTTATCATTTCATTTTTATATAGTCGTCTCCCTAACACGTCTTCCACTATATCCTTGCTTAATAAAGACTTAAAGCAGCAAATATATATGTAATTTTTTTTTTTTTTTTTTTTTTTTTTTAAAATAAAAAAAAAATATATAATATGGATATCATTATTAATTTTTTTGCACGGTTTTTCAGGAAACTAAGTGAACTTTTTTCATTTTACGTGATTTTTAAAAGTTATAAAATGGAACATATCCCCAAATTTATCCAAGAGTTGCATATAATTTTCTAGACAATTTTTCTTGCACGCTTTTCTCAGGCGCGTGTCTACCGTGCAAAAAAAAAAAGTTAGGTGTAAATACAAGAACGTCGGTAAATCTAGTATTGAAGATTTGCGGATGACGGAATAAATATTTCGCGAAACAATTAAAATTTTTGCAAGATCCATTATACATTTTACTACGCTGCGTGCTACTTCGAGCAGAAAATTGTCAGCAATAACAACTGCTAGCTCATGTCTCGTTATGCTTGGCGATGGCAAACGAGACAGGTTCTCTTTTGTTTTTTTTTTATTTTTTAAAAGCCTGCATTCCAAGCACTTCAGTTTAGTGATTTAGACCAATTCAATTTTCAGCTTATCCATAGGGTAAATTTTATAAAAATTCTTTTGAAAATTTAACAAAATTTCTTGAAAATATTCTTAACTTTTGTATATGAAATTTTATCATAAAAATATATGGTTGTTTGTATGTTGTAGACTACATGAAGCATAGGTTTTAATGTATCTTTTCCCAAGAATTATTTCTCAAGAGTGGAATATTTTTCTACACTAAAAGTTCTTTATAAAAGATATAATATATTAATTGTAAAATACTTTTCGTTAAAACGTTTAGTGTAGATCATCTCAACATTTTTCAACATCACATTTTACATCGGTGGAATTTGCTGATATTTGTAATTCTTGTTCTTCATGATAATGTTGCAATTGATGTTTTTTCAATTCCGCATGATATTTAAAGGCTTCCGGGCATTTATTACAAATATACACGTTTTCGCCTAAATGCGTTCGTAAATGTTTGGTTAAATCATTGCTTTGAGCATATGCACGATCGCAATATTGACACTTATATGGCTTTTCCCCAGTATGAGTGCGTTTGTGACGATTTAGATTAACTGGAGAAGCAAAGCTAAAAATAAAATTTAAAAAATCAAAATACATAAGAAAGTTAATACAGTATAGATAGTCTCATGTTTAAATGGTGAATATAAAGGTTAGGATTTCGATATGAACTTACGCCATAGAACATTGATCGCATTTGTAGGGCTTCTTGCCGGAATGTAACATCTGATGATTGTTTAGGGTATCGAGACGTGAAAAACGACTACCGCATATTGAGCAAACATGCACTTTACCCGCATTATGCGACATTAAGTGTATGTAACGATCTGAAGGGCATTTGAAACGTCTAGGACAATGGGGGCAGGCGTAAGGTTTATCTTCGCCGTGTCGTTGCATATGTTGACGTAAATTACTGGGACGATAGAAAGTTTTACCGCACAGTGTGCATAAATAAGGCGCTGGTTCTGTATGCATACGCATATGCTGTTTCATCGCAAATTTAAAAGAAAATGCTGACATAGAGAAAGAAAACATAAACCAGAAAGTATTTTTTACATTTTGCAAGGATAGTTAATTTATATTCGTATCCTTACATTTATCGCAATGTTCGCATTTAAAATTTTTAATGCCATTGTGACGATTTATATGAATTTTAAAGTGTTCTTCCACTACAAACGCTTTATCGCATTTATCGCATTTGAATGGTTTTATGGTCGGATGTTTCTTACTCATGTGCTGCGCCAAACTGCCTACCGAATTATATGCACATTTGCAATAATTGCAATGGAATTGCACTTGTTTCTCTACTGTTAATTTATCAACTGATTCGTTACTATTTTTACTGTTAGGGAATTGAGCATGAACTTTGATCAGATGTTGTTTTAAAAGATGTGGAAATTTAAATCGATGATCACATATATGACAAACGAAACGATAGCATTTCACGTGAGTTTTTTTATGGCACTTTAAGCGTTTTACAGTTTTAAACGTAGCTCTGCATTCGGTACATGAGAGTAGTGATTTATATGATATCAAATAATCGTTCGTATCGTTATTGTCTGAATCATTACATCCTGACCATGACTTTTCCGAGCTCTCCACTTGAACATTTTCACTAATTACATTTGATATTCCCTCACGTTGCTCTTCCAATAGTTCTTTATTCGAAAATCTCTTCAAATCTATTATTTTCAATAAAATCCTTGGTTGATGAGTTTTTCGTATGTGTTCCTCAAGCAGAGTTTTTGTGGTATAACGGTAAAAACAAATTTTACATACGAAATTATTTTCTAATGATTGCTGTTTATTATGCCTGAAAAATTGATGAGTTTTAGTAACAACATTACAATTAAGATAGCCATTGTGCCCAGAATGCGTTTTGTTACATTCCATACTTGAATTATGAGAATTTATATCAAATATAATATTTTTTGATTTTTTAATTTTCCGAAAATCTTCGTCAATTAAACCAAGTCTTCCAGTTTCTTGGCTTTCAACATTTTCGATTCTTTCGCTAACTGTAATTGAAGAAGTTCGCATTTGTTCCCATATTCTCAACAGTTGCTCATTTGTATGTCTGTAAAGCTGTTGAAATTTGAAGGAAATTTTTAATTGCTCCATACATAACTCACAAATCTGTTCCGGCATCTTTAAATCTTCCGGCAACGTTTTACAGTCTATTATAATTTGTTCTAACATTACTTGTAATGATAGATTCTCGTCATCCTTTATACCGACAATTGTATCTTGTAAACTGTATAATGTTTGAGCTCTACACAAACAAATACGACATATACGTCCGTAAATGCTATTAAATGGCATTTTTCATAAGCAACTTTATCCAATTTATATAAATTTTGTCGCAATTTACTTGATCTCATAAAAAAACCAAAGTCATAAATAAGCCACAAACAGCTGCTTTGGCCTTAAATTTCTAAACAAAACAGCATATGATTGGGATAACTGGCTGGTATGGGAATTAACGGCGAATATATTAAGTTGTTATTGGGCTTGTCGTTCATTGCTTTCATAGCTGCCAATGCTGCCAATTGGATTCATACTAGCGAACGCAGTAAACAAAAAAATCTCAGGGTTGTTTTCAGTGAAACGAATTAATTCAATCATATATAATAAAATATTTAGCAACTCAACATTTATTGAAAAGAACGGTACATTTGTGCAAATTTAAGATTACACTTGGAAATTTAAACATGATTTTTCATTTTGTGAGAATTATATTATGCATTTTTACTTAAATTTTGTTACAAATTTAAAAGTTTTTAAAAATTAAATTGGATCGCAATAGAATTTTTAAATGGGGTAAGAAAAGCTTTCGTTAGTTATTTTATGATGTTATTTATTACAATTAAAATATTTACAATTTATGATTTTTTCTCCTCATTTGTCTCAGGTAATTGTCCGATTTCTCCCGCTTCCTGTTTTTCTTGATTCTTTAAAAGTTCTTGTGCTTCTTTGTAGTGTTCCGATTGATGTTGTCTCAATTCGACTTGATATTTAAAAGCCTTAGGACATTGGGTACACATGTAAGTGTTTTCTCCGACGTGAGTGCGCAAATGTTTAGTTAAATCACCACTTTCGGCATAGGCGCGCTCACAGTATTTACATTTGTATGGTTTTTCACCGGTATGTGTACGCATATGTCGGCGAAGGTGATAAACTATAGCAAATCTGCCAGAGAATAGAAATAACAAATTTTATCTATCAAAATTCGCTCAAAGGGGCAAAATTAACTTACGCCATATTACATTGATCACATTTGTGGGGCCTTTCGCCGGTATGTAATTGTTTGTGTTTAGACAAAGAGTAGGAGCGTGTAAATCTTGAACCACATAAATCACAGACGTGTGGTTTGTGATTAGTGTGTATCGACATGTGTTTAATGCGATCCGATTGGCAGGCAAAACGACTTGGGCATTCTGGGCACTGATAACGTTTCTCATTACCATGACGTTCCATATGTTGACGTAGATTACTAGCACTGCGAAAAGTTTTACCGCACTGGGGACATAAGTAAGGGCTTTCACCGCTGTGCGTACGCATATGCTCCTTTAGGGTATTGCCATAACTAAACTCTGTTCAAAATCATATTTTAACGCAAAAATATATTGTAATAATTCTTCGTTTGAAGGACCATACCTTTCTCACATACCAGGCAAACAAGATTTTTGTTACCCATATGTCGATTTAAATGCTCAACTAGATGAGCATGTAGAACAAATGATTTCTCACATTGATTACACTGGTGTTTTTCTATTTCCGGATGTTTATTTGACATGTGTTCTGCCAAAGAGCGAATATTCATGAACTTGCGTTCACAAGCCGGACATGGATAATTGGCCAAACCAGCATTACGCGTATGTGTTTGGCGATGAGCTGCCATAGAGGCTTGCTTTTCAAAACGTCTAGGGCAATCGGGGCATTTGAAGCCATTAATAGGGGTGGGGTGGGTACTTTGAATACCTTTCTTTTCATTGTCATGCATGAGTTTATGGGCTTTCAGCAAAGCCTGGGTTAAAAAGCGATATTTGCATTGTTCGCATTGGTAAGGACGCTCTAAAGAGTGAACCGAACTATGGCGTTTTAAACGATACGGGCGATCGAATACTTTACCACATTCTTGACATTGATAACAACCATTACGACGATTATTACTGTTTGGTCTGATTGGGATAAAATCGTTATTAAAATTTTCCTTAAAACGGTCGGATATGGAAAATACTTCTCTATCTCGCCAATGCCAGTATCTATAAAATCCTTGTTATCATCATCATGTAAAATTTCTGATTTTACTTCATTAGTGGGATTTTCGCTGAAAGTAGGAAAAAAGAACTCAAGAAATTCGTGCATAAAACCGTTCACTAAACAAAGCTAAACTAAGAGAGTATTTCACACTTTCGTACTTTTCTTGATTCCTTGCATCTTTCTCATCTTGACCTTTTTCCAGTGTATTCACCGCAGCATCGTCAGCATCTGTTTTTATTCCAACTTTTTCAACGTCTCCAATTGTGTCAGTTTTTAAGTTCTTATCCAAGCTATTCTTCTTTTTTCTTGTGGTTGTTTTCAGCTTGGGGTGTTTGTTAGAATGTCGAGTAATATGTTTATTTAGAAGCTTTTGAGTCTTAAACGTTTTCGGACACTGGGGACATACTAGCTTCGCAGTTTGTGCATCCTTATGATTAGCTCTGAAATTCAGATTTTGTAGAATTTTGTGCGTTCATGACATTATTAATATTAAAATTTGCCAACCGTTCTAGGGCTCTAAGTTTACTAGCGATAGTTTCGATACTTGTATCCTTATCTTTAGATGAAATGTCTAAAATATCTTTAGCACTAAGTAAGAAGGAAAATATATATATGTTGCGATGTTAAAATAATTTCTTTTTAGAAGAAAAAAGAGAGCATAAAAATTTACCTAAAAGCATCGTCTTCAACACTATCATTATTATGAAACCAATCAACACTGTTAGCATTTAGGACCATCTCTATTTCTTGAGGATTTATCTCAGTTGGGAAATTTTCTTGTTTCGCCTCTTCCCCAATATCCATTTCTACTTTAAAATTATTGTTCTCTGGCAAATGGATATCGTCTTCCACCTCCATTTTCATTTTGTTACAATTTAAAACCACTACTCCAGTAGCAGCGTTGTTGGTAGTGCTGGGATTATTTGCCACCAGGGTCATAAAAATTTTATTACTTTGCAAGCATTGTTGCTGAAATTTAAATGCTTTTAGCAGTTGATCCACACAAGAGTCACACACTAAAACCGGGAAAGTAAGATCTTCTTTGTCAATATTTAACTGCGGCACCAATGCTGTTAACATTTCCAAAATTTTATAGTTTTCCAAGGGGGCATCTTGTAATTTATGATACACATTATTTTCACTCAAGCAAGTGCGACACATTAATGTAAAATCCAAAGCCATATTTGAAGGAATGTTTTATTCTGCTTGTGTTTATAATACTTGCATTGATAATACTTTTACTTCTCAGTAGGTTTTTTATGAAAAATGTAAAAATTTATAAAGACTTGTTTATAATTCGCGTGATGGGAAAATGCAGTTTTATCGACTTGGGAGATAACATCTGTTTTTAACAGAGTTGGCTATAAACTTTTTAGTATCGAAATTGCTTCAAAACAGAGATGTTTTTCAGGATTAAAAGTGCTTTCTATAAATTAATTGAGAAAAAGAGTCTTAAAAAAAAAAAAAGAAAAAACACGAAAAACTTTTTTTGTTTAATGAACAATTAATTAAAATCATATAAATTTCAACAGAAAGCGAAAACTAATATCGTACGTATACGATACGTATGTTTAGTTCCCACTGTAGATGCATACAACTGTCGTTTTGTTGTATATATATTAAATAACGTGAATTCATTAGGAAAATTCGAAAAAATGAGCTACACTATAAATTTAAAAACAATACAAGCGTGTAACCTTTTAAATAATTTCCGTTCAACGCGTTTAAAATGCCGAAAGAGGATGTCAACAACGACCAAAAAAGAATCAATAAATGAGCAGGAAACTAGCACCGAAGAAACTACACATTTTGGATTTCAGACCGTCAAGGAAAGTGAAAAAGTTCAAAAAGGTCTCTATTTTTAAAGATTTAAGAGAGTAAATTATCGTATATAATTATCCTTATTATATACCTTTGCAGTTCACAAAGTTTTCGAAGATGTGGCCAAATCTTACGATTTAATGAATGATGTGATGTCAATTGGTATACATCGTATTTGGAAAGATATTTTTGTAGAACGTTTAGGTCCTTCTCATGGGACCCGTTTGTTGGATATGGCAGGAGGCACCGGCGATATAGCTTTCCGTTATATTAAATATTTAGCCAATATTCCCAATCCTAAAAACCGGCAAAGTCACGTCACCATCAGCGATATCAATCAACACATGCTTGATGTAGGGCAGAAAAGAGCTGAGGGATTAAAATATATCGCGCAAAGTTTACCTCAAATGTCGGTTGAATGGAAATGTGAAGATGCCGAAAAGTTAACATTTCCTGATGATAGCTTTAATGCTTATACCATAGCATTTGGTATAAGAAATTGTACTCATATCGACAGAGTGCGTATTATCAAATGTTAGACATGAATTCAGCTTCACATTGTTTTAATATTTTATCCACAATTTAGGTTTTGTCTGAAGCTTACCGCGTCTTACAACCTGGTGGTCGCTTTATGTGCTTGGAATTTAGCCATTTAACTAATGATGTTTTACAATGGCTTTATGATCAATACTCTTTCCAAGTTATACCACCAATGGGACAAATATTGGCAGGACAATGGGATCCTTATCAGTATTTGGTAGAAAGTATACGCAAATTTCCTCAGCAAGAAGAATTCAAAAAAATGATTTCAGCCGTTGGTTTTCAAATGGTCCAATATGAAAATCTTTCTTTTGGCGTAACTAGCATACATTCAGGTTTTAAATTGTAATAATATCATTATGGAATTTTTCATGAACACTGCATCTTATTATACCCATCACCAAAGGTTAACGAAATAAAAGTGAAGAGAAGACGAACCAATTTGTAACTAACACGAAAAACATCATTTAATACGTTTTATTTCTTGATCGAAGCATGGATTCTTTTTCAAATCATTTTTAAATGAATGTAAATAATTTCTAAATACATAAGTGAAGCCGATTAAAGAAATTTGAATTTATTAAACAACGAAACTTGTCATCTGTTTTTCCTTTTTTGTTGGAGTGCTTGGAGTGCAGAACTCTGGAAGTTTAAGGAGAACATTTCTTTTTCTTGCAATGAGCCATTCTTCACATATTCTGAAAGTATATGTTAAGCCAATAAAAATGCTGTCGCTTGCCTTCCTCTTCTTTTATCGTTTAAGAAAAAATCAGATATTTTTTCAAATTCTCTTTATTTTCACTTTTTTTTTACCGAATTTATTTCATGATTTTTAAACACTAATCTATGTAATTAATACATATATATGTATATATATACATATATATATATATATACATATATATATGTATATAAATTAATACACACAAAAAATATAAAAAATATATATATATATATATATATATATGTTTATGTTTAAACAATAAAACTAATGATAATAATAAAAATTGGTGGAGTTCTAATTTTTAATTAAGCTTTTTTTTGTAGTTTTTGTATATTTTTAAGTAATTAAATATTAATCATAATTTTGTTTTATATTTAAAAAAAAAATTTCTTTAAGATTTTCTTGTTATATATATACACACGCACGTATATATACATATATATATATATATATATATATATATATATATGTATAAATAAATTCAAGCATATTAAGTCCATAAAATAAGCGTCGTTTTGCAAGTGTTTGTAAAAGAAAATAAAATGAAAAAATTAATTTGAAAATAAAATATAAAGATGATATTCTCGATAAATTGAGAGTAAAAATAAAGAAAAAGGCTAAACATTTTTTTCAATAATGTGACAATAAATTGAGAAAAGGAAAAACCCCTTCAATAATTTGGGAATAAACTAAAAAAAGGATATTATTAAAAACAAATACTTTTACATATCGCGTTTTCAACTTTAAAGTTGACATGAGACTCATCCTCATCCTCATCCTCATCAATGTCCTTCATAACGTTTTCATTTTGCTACCAGTCTTTCTCGTTTGCCGTCAAATCTGCTTAAACTTTATACGTTGAACTCTTTTTTTTTTCATTGCTTTTACGCATTATTTCTACTATTGTCGTTCTTTGAGTGCTTTTTACGTGTTTTAAGCAAATTTTTCCAATTTTCCCTTTAAAAATTTATCTCTTCCACTTTCTCAGCGTCAGATTTTAAATCTTGTAAGAGCAGTTCATGGCATGATTTAGGTATAAGAGTACCGACGATTTTCTCCCCTTCAGTAGTTTTCATCCGTATTACTTGCATCTTATTATTGGCATTACGCATAGCTAGAATTTGCTCTACTCGTGCCCACACCGATAAAACTGAACCGGCTAATACATAATATAAACGTTGTCGCAAACCCACCTAAAAACAAAGAAAAAAAAAAAAAATAAAATAAATAAATAAATAAATAAGAATAAAAATTAAGTATTCATGCATATATATATTAAATAAACTGAAAAGTAGTTGCATTTAGCTGTAAAGAAGTATCAATGTAAAATGGTGCTAAGGCCAGCTTACGGGACACTTTTTTTTTTTTTTTTTTTTTTTTTTTTTTTTGGAAGGAACGATTATAGGATGATAATGTTAGAGAAGGCTATTACGCTAAGTAACCCCTTTCATATATTACAGGAAGATGTATTTTAGAAAAATATGCAAAAAAATTGCAAATCTCGCACTTACCTCGCACTCTGTGCCCATATTAACATTACGGCAGTTAGCATTCCAATAAGCATGTGAACACGTATTAACAGAGGCATCATATTGTTGCGTCCAATGCGGTTCGGCCTCCTCGCTGGTTACTTTTTTGTATTTCTTCTCAATTTCAGCCAAGGATTCATGTCGAACTTGTAGACCGGTATTTGGACGATAAACATGAAACATGATGTCTTTTTTGCTTTGAATTTTCTCTTTCGATTTTTTACCGGTTGCTGTGTTGGTAGCTGTGGCAGGAGGTTGTGATGGTTGTTCAATTTCTGCAGCCAAAATTGCAGTGCGTTTATTATTGCGTAACTGATGCGATATATAAAAGCCTTCACTTTCGCTAACTAAATCTGTGTATCTGAGGGAGAGAAGGCAAAAAAAAAAAAAAATAAAAAAAATAAATAAATAAATAAAAGACAAGCATGAATAATTAATATGCATATCACGAGATTGCTCTCGTATTCTCTCGTGCTTGTTGGTCTTTACCAACACCACTCACTTGTCAATAGCCTCTTGCCATATCATGCCTCTCTCTACTCTGACAATATGCAGCTCGGTGGGCGCCTTACCAGTAGCATGTTTACGCAGGAAACGCACCAATTTAACTCGCGTTACATTTTCACCGGCTGCCCCAAGATCTGCAAATAAGAAGTGTAAGAATTGCTGTCGAGCCATTTAATCCATTTTCTGTCGTTTACCTAAGATGCCCAAATCAAATCGTCCACCCTTTTTCGCTTGATTAATAATGGCCGCCAACGTATCGGTAAAGTATTTAAAGAGACGATTTTGTAATTCTACCGGCATGCCCAAAATACGATTTAGGAATTTCGATATATTATTGTAATCCTTATCCAGACTCAATACCCCTGGATTCGTTTCACTATTTACTATAATACCTACTCCGACTAAGGCGCCAGCTATATCCTTAAAGAAATCACCGCGGTAATCATTGGGTGGCGGTACCAATGGTTGCTCATAGCCCATTATCGTTTTCATCACAGTTTCCAAAGCGGTACGACCGTATTTGTTATCAATGTTAAATTGCGAAAGATCTCTGGTTTCGGTAGCCCTACGATCGCCATGGGTTAAGGCGCCCAATGATTCCAATCGCTTGGCCACCGTTGAAGCGAAACGTCGCTCACCCGCTAAATCGGAGATAAGAAATATATATTCGGGTGCATTCACTTGATTAGAACGATGCGTGCGACCAAACTGTTGTATTGCGCGATCGGCAGACCACGGCAACTCGAGTGTAATGTGTACACGCCGTCTTTGATTACGGACTCGGCGGTCACTTTGTAACGATATACCGCTGGACGCGGCCTCCGAAATGATAGCCACATCCTTTTCCCCGTCCATAAAGCGTTGTTTTTCTGTAATATTTAACGTTTCTAAGGGAACATCTTGTTCAGAACGGGACTCATATTGTATAGAACCATCATCGGCTTGTACAACACGCCCTTTACGTCCCGTCATTTCAGCTACATTTTCTGTCCCGCCTAGCTCATCGATTAACTGATCAAGTGTGTTTGGTGGCAAGCGTTCTCCCAAAAGTTCAATTTTACGTAATAGCTCTTCCTTCATACTGCATGCCCGTTCGATGGCATCTTTGGGCGGTGGACCATAATTCAAACGAACTCCATGCACTCCTATTTGAGTGACGGTGCCTTTTAGTTCTTGTTTTTTTTGCAACAAATCTTGTATTTTATCTTGCGTGCTTACAGGACCACGTTTTTTCGGCATTATGGTAATTGCGGAGGCTGTGACGGCAGCATTTGTCGCAAATGTTGGATGCGATGAATTATCTTTCGGTTTAGTTTTCTTTTTCTTCTTTTTTTTGGCACGAGCCACCCAAGGATCATTATCACTATCGGAACCGCTAAAGAAGGGATTAAAGTCGGAAGATTCTGCGCTATCGCTTCGATTGGCATTATCAGATTCTTCTGTATCGGAATTAGATAGTTTAAAATCGGATTCATTGTCAGAGCCGCCAGCATGATCGTCTTCAGAATCATGCCAAGCTTCTGGACGCGATTTTTTGAGCGACTTTCCTTCTTGGCGGGCGGATTTTCGTTTATTATGATTATTGGTGCTAGTTGAAGAGGAGGATGCTTCCTCCTTTTGTTTGCTTGCATTTACCTCGGGAATAATGGTAGATTTCTTATCTTCTGATGAAGGTCCCGTTAGGCCTAAAATACGATTTATTCGATTGCGATCAGGCGCAGGGAAATGTTTCTCTACCAAAGATTGAAAGACACCTCTGCAAAATATTTTTTTTTCCGATTTCTTGTAAATTTATAGAAAAAAGAAAAAAAAAATGAAAAAAAAAAACTCACTTGGCTGTCGATACAAAGTCAGTCAATTCTCCATCATCTCTCTCTAATTGTTCTAAAGTACGCGCTTCTCCCGTCGACTGCAATCCAATTACAACGCATTTGCCGTATTTAATCGCCTCACGAGCTACATGTACCGCATGATTTACTTTGGAAGCAATGCATAAATATTTGAAAAAACGCTGATGCGAGGACCAAAACTGCCCCCACATTGTCTTCTTCATTCTACTTTCGGCATCAATTAATTCGGCAGCTTCGGTAAACTTTTGCATCGCCTCGACCCACTTAAAGCATCAAAACGAAATTATTTATGCCTATGTCTCTTGAGCTATAAGGGAAAGCTTACCAGCTGTACTGATTCATCATAAATGCGACGAAAATCTTTCGATAAAGGAACCTCTTCTATTTTGAAGGTGACACCGTGAAAGCTCAACTGACGAGCTATGTACATGCCACGCAGTTTCATATCCATCGCTACAATTTCCATAGCGCCAACTCCTCTAAGAGAGTTAAAAAACATAGATGACAGACAGATTCGAAACATTCGACATATATATATATATATATATATATATATATTTTTTTTTTGTACCTTTTCTCTACAGCTGTTATAAAGTCGTTGAAGTTAGGAAAGGCGGTTCCCTGACCCCATAAACCCAAGCGTACCATATAGGCCATATTTTTTGGTTCTGAAGCGCCCGTGGCCGAGGCATATACGACTCTGGCTTTTGGCAATTTTTGTTGCAGTTCCAATACAGTTTGGCCTGTTTTTGTAGGCTTACCCGAACCGACTGGGCATAAATTCTTTGCTTTATGGCATTCGTCGAAAATAATCAAACCGTCGAAATCCTCGCCACACCATTGCAATAATTGTTTAAGCCGTGAACGATATTTTCCAGTCTTATTATTTGATTCCCCGATTAAGGCGGAATAGGTGCTAAAAATCACACCCTTTTTACAATTGTTGTTAACATCCGAAGAGATTTTAGCATATTTAAACTACAGAAATATTAGATTAGATAGACGTGGTCAATAATTGATTGAATAAACCGATGATGTTGTTGATTGAGGTTACCTTATTTAAGGGGTGCACTTCAATTTTCGCCGCACCTATGTCCGATAAATCGCGTTCGGCATCGTATTTTAAATCATTTGATACCGAAATCCATAGTGCCCTTTTGCGTCCCTTTAAGTAATTCTCATAGATAATTCCGGCTATGGTGCGTCCTTTTCCAACGCCTGCACCATCACCTATTAAGAAACCTGCGCGACTACCATCGGGCAGAAGATGATCGTGTGCTTGCGATGCATAGGTAATAGATTCCAATTGTAAAGCACTTAGCTGACCGCTTTGTATGGTTTCAGACGGTACAGCCAATTTATAATAAACGTCGCAGGGCTCTACCGATGAAAGGGACGCAGTTTCTACTACAGGATCCGGATGTTTTTTACCCAATTTCACTAGAAATTTAAAACTTTTTTTTTTAAAAAAATTTTCTCTTCAAAATATTTAATAAATTTTTTTTCAATTTACATTTGGCCGGCCAATATTCAGCGTAAGTTTCGGCCACGCCCATTTCTTCATAATCAACCTCATCCTCTTCGGTTTGCACAACTGGATTGGGCGTCTGCGAAACGAAAAAAAAAAAAAAAACGAAATTATGAAATATCGCTAGAGTTTAATGTCTTTCCGCATAGTTACCTTCATTGGCTGCATTAACAGTTGAGACAATAGCTGATTGGGAATACCGCTGGTTAGGAATTCCGGATTAGCGGCGACCAATGCTTGTATTTTCTGCAAGACCATGGCATTGATTTTCGATTGTGGTGTTAGCCCAACGCCACCTCCACCTCCTCCGGCTGCATTGTGAGTAGTTGGCGCCGATGCATCAAAACCTAAACCCATGCTCACTTTGAAATAGGCAGCGAGAAGAAAAAGGGAAATGGAGAAGAAAAAAAAAAAAAAAAAAAAAACAGACAAGGATAACACTGTGCTTAAACACTTTTTGATCATTATTCTGTAGCGCAAATATAAGAATTATATAAAATTCTACCAAAAACAAAAAACAAAACAAAAAAAAAAAAACAAAAAAAAAAAAAAATAATAATAATAATAATAATAAGAAGAAGAAGAACAAGCAAAAACGAAGTAACGCAAATGAAAGTAAAAATTGTGTTGTGAATACGGAGTCATAAATAAAAGTCAGAACAAAACTGTCGAAATCGTGTCATACTACAAAGAAAAGTCATGAGCTCTATTAAATTACTTGCAAGAGCAGCAAGACTGTGAAGCCAGTCGAGAGAAATTCATCACAGGATTACACAACATTTAAGATATATAGAACCTAAAATAGTTTTTTTTTTTTTTTTTTTTTTTTTTTTTTTGCCTAGAGTAGCTTTTACGTAACTTACGGCTGTTGTGATCTTGATTATGTTTTCATGGTGTTTCCACTTTGGTCCTTATTTTTTTCATCTAATTATATGGTCATGGCTTGCTTGATTGATTGATTGATTGATTGATTGATTATGATTGAAAAGATTTGAAATCATGATCTGTACATATTTTCTCATATGTTTTCGCTTGCGTGTGCCGAACAAATAAAATATCGCACGCACATTATCTGTTAGTTGAATATTGTGCTGATATTTTAGAGAAAGCACTTATTTGAGATCCGTGATATATGTGAAATTCAATTACTCCTTGAACATGGAAGAAAAAAAGATGGATTTTTTTTAATGCATTTCGTTTTTTTTTTTTTTTGTTTATTCTCATTCTCATTCTCATTTATCGCGAAGGTAACTCGCAACGATCGATCGCAGACTCGCAAATAGACAAATGTTTTCTAGACAGACAGAGAGAGAGACAGAATGTTATAAATGAGCAATGATAGCTATAGGTGGCTTGCGGCGATCAATTTTCATTAAAATGGATTATGCTGAATTTCGCTCTGGAGAATATAAAATTGGAGGTCCGTTGAATATATGATTGATTAAAAAAATCGAGACGAATAATCGATCCCAAGCAGAGATTCAACGCATTATAAACTGTTTCAAGATATTTTCCGTTCAAATGTTATTCTACATATATATTTATATAGATATATATAGATATATATATATATATATATATGTGTCGATATGTATGTATATATATATTATAGCGGATTATGTTGCTGTTATGTAGTTTGTTGCAATCGAGGGAATATGCTATAAGGCGACGCTTAAAGGATTTTCGAAGATATCGGAGATGAATTTAATTTGAAAAAGGGTTAAAAGAACGATTTGCGCAAAGTAGCTTAGTAATGTAAAGCAGCTGAGCTGAACAAGGGCGCGAAAAAAGTAAAAAGTAAGAAGGATGATGTGTTCTCAGCCATGCCTAAAATGAAATTTCTACACTTGAATACTCTGCCTGTAATTATTGAACAAGCAATTGCAAGAAATTTATATCGTGATCTTCTCCTCTCGCTCAATCGTTATTGAAATTTCATTTGTCATTTCAACGGGATCAAATTTGATCAACAAGGTATGTTGTTTGTTGTGGTTGATTGTTCCAAAATATAATAACGAAAGCAAACAACTAATAAGAAAGCAAGAGTAGAAATGAAAATACAATTAAATCGTCCTTAAGCGAACATCATCAACAGGTCAGCCATTGTCTGATTTATTGATATACGAATTTTATGATTTTATTTTTCGCTTAAGTTCGCTTAAGTTATGATTCCACTGTATTTGCTTTAACCTTCTTGATATGTGGATTTTGATTATGTGCAATATTCTTCTAAAAATACGAGAGAAAAAAAATTTGGTTGTTACCAACATTACTCGACTTACTCTGCGCCAATAAAGACGCGGCCATATTAAAACTGGTGTTTGCTTGGTAGTATGAAGAGGAAGAAGGAGCAGAAGATCTAGAAGCTGAAGTGAAACCAGGAGTAGGACCACCACTAATGCTACTACTACCGCCTGCTGGCGAGTTACCTAAAGGAGGCAAACCACCGGCTGCAGCCAAAGCAGCCATACTCATCAATTGCGTGGCATTGAATGGCGGTGGTAAGCTTCCGGCCGCCCCTGGCGCCAATCCGCCAAAAGCATTTGCTGCCGCTGCCGCTGCAGCTGCTGCTGAACTACTCGGATAAGCTGCTGTTAAGCCAAGAGCTTGTTAAGTTTTTTTTTTTTTTTTTTTAAATTTATTTTATTTTATTATTATTTTTTTTTTTTTATTTTTTTCATTATTTTTCGTTTTGTTTTTTTTTTTTGTTTTTTGTTTGTTTGTTGTTAATTTGAATATAGAATATTTTGAGGGGAAAAATTTTATAGTTAGGAAGATTTTTGGTTCTTAAAAAAAAAATGAAATAAAATAAGAAAAATATTAAGTCAAAGGAAACCAACCTGATGAGGTTGATGTTGTCGATTTTTTAGGCATGTTGTTATTGTTGGCAAAGACCGCTGTTGCCGCTGCACCCGATTGATTTGATATTAACAGCGAATTATTGTTGTTACCGTTATTATGTATACTATTGTTCTTGGCGTATGTAACAGCCGTTTGTAAGTCACGACCGCCACCTGGAAATGAAAGCGAAAAAAACAATTTAGTTTAGTCTCTGGATTAGAAGATATGGCTGAAGACATCGACATGCAGAAAAGCTTAATAAACTCTGTCTTATCTGTATTTAAAAGAAATTTCATAATTAGAATAATACTCTGATCTATACTTAAATTAATTAATTTGCAATAATTTAATGACAAAAGCTTAGCTTAGCTTAGCTTAGAAAAAAATTAGGCAAACATGAAAGCCATTATCAGCCCAATACATTAGAATTGATTACATATATGTTTTCTTATAAGTTAAATGTATATATATGTGTTAACTGATTGATCGTCAAGACCATAACTAACCGATTATCGAAAAAATTTGCATAAGACTTTAGATCAATATCTCTTATAGACTATGAACGTATGTGAGTGTGTTTGCGGATTGATAGGATTTATTGTCAAATTGAAATTATTAAGTTGTAATATCCGTTTCATTTATCCACCACATTGTAGAAATATTATAGGCGTGGTTATTGGCATATTATGTTTAATATCAAATTCGATCTGTGACCGCCACCAAGGCCACGACCGTGAATTTTTAAATGAACGGGAATAGGATAGATAAATAGGCAGGCAGGCAGACAGACAGACAGACAGACAGACATACAGAGAGGCTTGATTGTTACAAAGTCATTGAAAAATCAATAAAATTATTAAATAAAATTTTTAATATGCAAGAATTCCGAACTCTTTAAGGAAATCCTTTCTCGTTTGTCGATAATAAAATGTTTTCACGGTGTCGGAAAAGACCGGCACAATACATCTTATCTGGCCGCGTGTGTGCAAATATATCCGTATCGTCAGCTTTTTTTTTTAATCTTTTATAGAATATATATGTATATATACATATATATATATATATATACATGCATGGACACGTGCGAACAAACACAAATAAATAAACGAAAACTACTCTTTCAGCGTTTTTTCTAAGCAGAAGGGCATTTTATTACCTTTAACATGCATATGCGTACATAAAATAAAGATGAGCGTAACACATTTTTGTTGTTGTTATACCTTGTGCACGCCGTTTGATACAAAGTATATTAAATTTGTTGCGGATGTAAGTAACATCAGAATCAATCTCTCTAAATCATTTTAAACTTGTATATCCGCCTACCTGTCTGTCCCTCCCACGATTGTTGTGTTCAATCTATTGATTGCAATATTTAGGGTATTTTGACGACATTTTTTTCTACTGACTTTATACCCCTTTTTTTTTTTTGACATATGAACGAATGCGATTGCAAATGGATTGGATTCGTCCATTTCGCATGTAGTGGATTATTTTGGGAGCTGCATTAAGCGAAGTGATATTTACATTATTTCGGTTAATGGTCGGCAATGGCTCACTGCTTATCGTTCCGTCTGTCAGTCTCGCTGAACTTATGTAATAAGAATTCTTCTGATCGCATGAATATGAAGATAACAACTTTTGGCAAAAGCACTGCCAAAGTTATTGTAAATCAAAAATTCAAAATGCATGAAATCGGTTAAAGGACAGTTACGCGGACACTGCAACATAAACTGAGGACATTTCTGTTTTTGAGAGTAAAAAAAAAAAATCATAAATCACAACACGGATACAATGATAAAAATTTTAAATGTGTGAATATAAATATGATTTTACACAAACTATCATTCATCATCATTTAAAAAATACGCCCCACAATAATGCCCAAAAACAATTGCAAAAGACGCTTGAACTAATAAATCAAGAAACAGAATGACGGAAGATTTCGATTAGATGTGAATAATAAGTATGCGAAATCAATAAAGAAAAGGTTTTTTTTTTTTATTTTTATTTTTTTTTACATTTATTTATTTATTTATTTTTTTATATAAATAATTCCCTTACTTTTTGAACACCATGGTATATAGCTTTGGAATGCAATCTTATACGAATGAAGTTGGAGGACGCAAGAAGCGCCAATGCTTATAATCACGGATTGGCTTTAAAAGATATGCAAAAGCCTTTTCAGCAAATCTTCAATCCAAGTGTTCAATCCTTCCTTGTGTTATAAGCATTTAATATATCCATAAATCCCAGTAGTAGATATGATGAAAGCATTGTATTATTATTATTATTATTTATTTATTTATTTTTTTCGTTTTGAATGACTACTAAGAACATACGCAGCATGTGCCGTAATCGTTTACCATTTATGGTTAGTTATATACCGGCCCCATTTATACATATACGACTGCGAAGCGAAACAAATATTGCCGTAAATGGATATTTGTTATATGAATTCAATAAAACTAAATAAACTAAATTCCTAGATTAAAAATCGATTTACCTCAAGAGAAAAATTATTTTTGTAGGGACATAAGCACGTTACTGGGTTGCAAGACGCGTATATATATATATTGTGCTATCAATGACGGTGCATAGGCCGCGATCGGTTTACCTTGCTTCAAAGTGGGAAAATATTGATTCTGATACGTTTTAAGGCAATTAATTGGATTTATTTATAAACGTTAAACGATATTTGGAACTTTGGCGAATTTACATATAAAGCGATTCTTTAATAAATGTTCAGGATCCTTGCGATAACATTTCTGGGATTATTTTAAAGAGTAAATGGGAAAAAATTCCTTAAATCAGAAGCGTGCTATTTAAAAAAAACAGTGAGCGGACACACCCAGTCGCAGCTGGCATTGAGTTTTCCTTCTAAAATGAGCAGCACTTTTCCTTTGGGCCACTCGAGTTACACTTCTTACATACGGAGGAGAATCGTCACGCACACGAAGAAGAAAAGTGTTTGTAAATAAGGACAAGGTGTGGTTTGAGAAAACCAAAGTTAAGCGGCACATCAATCGGTGGGAAGTTACGGCATGTTTGCCGCGAGTTCGATATAATACCGTGTCAAACCGTTAAATAGGACTTTAATGTTTGCCATCATAGTCATAGTTAATATCGAAAAAATATTTCTGCGCTCAGACGGTTATTATTGTGTCTTTATTTCTCTTTAACATACTTGCGCGCTCTTCTTCAATGGAAGATATATCCCTATTATAAACTCATTTATTTATATCGATATATGTATGCATGCATGCATCCAAGAATTCTAAGAAATTTTGTTTAAAGAAAACATAGACCATTGCAATAACGTTATGGGTGGTTATGCATGGGTTTTGTAAATAAAATAAAGTTTTGCATGTTTCTTCATATTCTATGGCAATTTTATTGAAAGCAAAAGTGCTGCTAATCAAAATAAGTATCAGATTCACTCTGCTCTTCGCATAATTGATGATGATAGGGAAGAAATTAATAAATATCAATAATTAATCATTGTTTTAACTATAACTGGAGAAATTGTTACACTTGCTTAAATTAAATATAATTTAATTAATTAAATGTCTTTGATGCTTAGAAGAATGCAACATAGTTTGCATGAGATTTTATTTGTTCTTGCCCAAGGGAACGAACTAGATCTACGACACTTTGATTATGTCAACTTGAAATGAAATTTTGGCAGATCGATTTTTTAAGATGTTTCTCGTTGCATCTACTGTCTTCATTACATGCTGAAATGTATTTGCAAGCCATGGTCAACTTTTTTAATCGCACGATATTAATATATAAAAATTAATTGTTGTTCTCATGATGTATGAAATCTATCATTTTTCTTATGAAGGCATCAAAGTATTTATTCAAAATTATTAGATGTGTCAGCGTGTATCGAAAACGGTACATTTGCCGGAAAATGTGTTTGGTAGGGAAAGTGTTTAAAGAACGCTATATTTAAAAAGGTTGAAAAACATTATAGTCGGACAACGATAACTTTACATACCCTACACCAGATCGTCTAGTACAGTTATTCGCTCGTTTTGGTAATAACATACCAAAAATTACACATTATTTTCATATATTGCCCGCATATTGACTTCCTCTCTATATAAGAGCGCCTATAAATGTTGGAGTCCAAAATAAATAGACCTATGTTATTCAAATACCCTAACGTTAATTATTTTGCTGAGACGCTACTATGACTTAATTTTCATCATAAAATATGATAAATGAAGTCTTTTTGAGGCGGGCTTTCTACTCGTGAGATATCTTATATGAAGTGGGAGCTAAGAAATAGACTCATATGTTTCAAATTAGGTCCACTCAATTATGGCCTACACCACTTTTGTTGCAGGGTATATGAAGTTTGTGCGGACATATGTAATACCCAGAAGGGCTTAAGATAGATCCACCTTTTATTATATCGATCGATTCAAAATCATTTTCTAAATCGATTTAAGTCAGTCTGTTTAATTGCTTAAGCCCTTCTGGGTGTTACATTAGGCTGCACTGAATTAATATACCCTCAATATACAAGATGCGCGAATAAATTTCATTTATTTCGATTAAATTTTAGAGGGAATTATCGGCTATTAAATCTTCCTCGGCCAATTATTTAACATTAAGTCGAACGTCATCACGGTTGATAATCGCTATACCACGACTTTTGTTGTTTGTGCCCATGTTTCTCATTAAATTGCATCAATTATCGTTGGTTCATCTATTGTCCATCATCGGCCACGATTTTGCCTTGCTGCCCTTTGAAGTGAGCAAAAAAGAGGGAATCTTTCCCGTTGAATGCCTCAGGCAGTGTTTTCGGAATAATGTTTTCAGATGTTCAATTTTGAAAATAAGCGAGGACTAATTTAACGTCTCAATAACTTTTTTAAATTAATTTTGACCTATAAGGTTGAGTTCATAATGAGAACCAAGGTTCCGCAAATATTTCGCAAACCAGTTACTTACTCAATATTGAGGTTATGTACAATTTCTATTATGCATTATCGAATGCCATTGAAAGCTACTCACTCACACCATTTGAACTAATTTAATTCATTTCAGTACTGACGCATCGACTAAACCGAAAGCCGTTTTAAAGATCAGATAGATCCGGATAGGAGTTTCTTAAGCCGCTTTTCTTTCGACCCCTTCACTAGCAATATGTTTTCAATTGCGT